AGCTGGTAGAGCTGGAAGACCGCAGCCTAAAGCAGGAGCAGCAGGAAGGCCATAGGACAAAGCCGGAGGCGGAAGACAACAACACTGAATCTAAATGTAAAAAATATTATTTTATATTATTTTATTTCAGTGTGTTAGATAAAACTTACTTCATTGAGAAGAATAAATTGAACAAGTGCAAAAATAGCGTATTTAGACATGTTGATAGAAACTAGAGAACTAGAAAGAACTGATGAAGTTTTTAGCTCTTCAAAATTTATAGTACGATTGCTTTATTATTTTGATCTATATTTTTCATAAAATCAATTTTTGGCGATATGCATTGATAGGTACGTGCTTTAATGTTAATTTTTTAATAATCAATAATTTCCGTTCGTATTACAGTGAATAGATATTAATATACATATACATATTCCTATATTTTTTAAGTCGTACTTCATTAATTAATTATTGTTTATTAAAAAAATATATTGTACATATGTTACACTTTATTTTCACTTTTTATATGAATACATACATCGGTTGGATGACCTTCATTTCTAAAGCTATTGAATACTTTATTTGAAAATAAAACACGTTTGTATCGCAATATCAAATTTTTATTCAATAATTATTGTAATAACAAAACTGAGACTGCTATATATAGATAGCAAAAAAAAACAGAATCATCAAGCAGTTGTATCGGGTTCTTCAACAACAACACCATTATGTCAAGATTTGTACTCGCTTTCGTACTATTTCAAATCGTTTTGATTAAAGAAGTAAGTCTTCTTCGTCCTCTTCATACTTAACTTTATAATTAATTTGTTTCTTTAGATACAACCATGTGCTCTCCCAGCTGCACCTGCCTTAGGCTGTGGGCTTCCTGCACTTCCAGCTCTTTCAGCCCTTTCAGCCCTTCCAGCCCTTCCAGCCCTTCCAGCCCTTCCAGCCCTTCCAGCTGCTCCAGCTTGTGCTCCATCCCAACTACCACTACTCACTATACTCCCATTGCCATTACCACTACCATTGCCTGCAGCACCTGCTTTGCCACCACCATGTACTTTACCAGCAACTAATAATATTTTACCCATGAAGGTAAGTTTTTGTGTTGTTGTTATTTTTTTTTATAAAAAACAACTTTATTTAGTTGGCTCTTCCTCCTCTGGCTGGATGTGGGGTGTTGCCTCCCCCACCTTGCGTCTGTTGACGAACTCAAGAAGTTGCCATCAACATTGAACATGTTTAAATAAAGTTAAAAAATAAAAAATTAAATAAAAATGTATGATGGTGTATGAGATTTTAACATTAATAAATGGTTTAGAAAATTAATAAGTTTTTTTTTTGTTTCTCTATAACCTACGAGAATGTAATAATTCTTGTTTTACTGAATTTTGTTTAAAAAAAAAAACGAGCTCTTTTATATTCTCTTTATACCCGAGACATTTTTCAGAATTTGTATATTTTGGCCAAAAACATTCTTATCATATTTTTTTTCTGTTAGTGTCAAAACAGTGGCGTCAGTGAGTTTTTTTTTCTACGACCTAGCAAGAAAAACTTGAAAAATAATAATTTTCTTCCTAAAATTTGGGTGGAAAAATTTACTTTCTGTTAAGGTCGTAGAAAAAACAATTCCTTTTCAATAGTCATGTTCAAAAAGCTTGCAAACATAAACATTTAAAAAAATACGTTGTAATGTTAACAGTCTTTCTTGAACAAAGAATTTCTCAAAGATTTTGGTCTATCTACATAGCACCCAGTAGTAGTTGTTTTTTTTGCTATTTTTTACCAAATAACCTTAATTCGTTTCTTCTGCCATGACTTGATATAATCAATATAACCAGATGAGAGATTACAATAGGGTAGCAAAAATGTGTGGTAACTGGCTGTAACTGACTATACAGGTGCGCCAGATTTCGCGCCCCAGAGAAAATTTTCAACTAAGGTAAGATACCAGAAACATGAAAAAAATGTTTAAAAAATTCTATTTGTCAAAAAATTTTGACATTTATTTTTTGACATTTGACATTTTTTATATCTATTTAATCATACTGATGATCTTGTATATGTTTTTTTACTATTATTTAGTAAAGGGACAAAAATTTTCCCAATAAAAGTCACAAATAACATTGAACAGAATTATAATTTAAGATACAGCTTCCTTATTTCCTCTTTTAATAGCCTATAGCAAAAAAACTTGTAAAATTATTTTTCCAACAGAAATAAATACAGTCAAAGTGCAAACTTTAAACCCTCATGACTTCGTTTTTATAGATAATTTTTTTTTTAACATTTTTTCCATGTTCCTGGTATCTTACCTTATATGGCTCTGAGGCGCGAGTTCTGGCGCACCCTGTATACTTTGTTCGTCCTTTGATAATGTTTGCTTCGTTCTCTAAGTATGATATACAGATTGTCAAAAATAAAAAAAGGCCCTAAAGTTATAGGTACGTAGTTTACAAAATAAGAAGGAGGAGAGACAGGAGCCATCACTCTCTTTTAGAGATTCGCTATTTCTATCTTCTGCGCATCTCGTGGTCTTTTTTATTCTTGACAAGCTGTACTTACCTAAAACCTTTAGTAGTAGTTTTAGTAACTAAAAAATAGTTTATAGTTAGTCAATTTATTATTAGATAAAATACAAATTGATTAATAAATGTGTTTGACAATAGGAGATCGTACTAATTAAATAAAAAATAATGTAACCAATTCCCAAATAAAACTACATTCAATAATATTAAAATAATGTTGAATTTCAAATATGTTCATAAATAGATAATTTAATTAATGCTAGTAAAATTAATTTTAATTGACCACCAAAGACAAAATAATTTTTTTCTGAAAACATATGTTGGCAATTATTAATAAAATCTATAGTACGTAGATTTCAAAAAAATTATTAATATTATTTTTCTAAATAATATTAAAGGTTTTATTAGTACATGAAAATTCATTTACTCTGTACAGAGTCTCTAGCCATATACCTACTGAATAAAAATATATCTACTTATGTAGAATTAAAAAAAAAACATTTTTAAACTAGTTGTAATTAGTTACAATAAACTTTTAGTGACTGAAATTTAAATAAATAATCTGGAAAAATGGAAAGTCTTCCGCGTGACCCTAACATTTATTATTATATTACACTGACAAGTTTAACGAACTTAAAAAGCATTTTATTTGCATTTACAAGCACGTACTTATTAACTTGATTGATTGATTTCTGATAATAATTCATAACACACAAAATACATCCGTGTTTCTATTTAAAACAATAACCAAAACAAAAAAGCACATCAATATTTAAACCCACCAAAAATCATATTCTTCACGCATTTAATATTTCAATCCTCTATCAACATGTGGAAAATCATTTTTACTTTTACCATCATCCTCGTCAAGGAAGTAAGTTTCTTAAAGTATTTTGTTTTTAAAAAAATAATCGTTCTTTTAGATTAATTCCTGCGGCATCGCCCTTTCTCCACCTTGTGCCCTTCCACCGCCACCAGCTTGTGGACTACCCGCTCTTCCTGCTTTACCTGCTCTTCCTGCTTTACCTGCTCTTGCTGCCCTCCCACCTCTTCCTGCTCTTCCAGCTCTTTCTGCTCTCCCAGCTGCACCTGCTTTAGGCTGTGGACTTCCTGCACTTCCGGCTCTTCCAGCCCTTCCAGCTGCTCCAGCTTGTGCCCCACCCCCACTACCACTACTAGCTATACTCCCATTGCCATTGCCATTGCCATTGCCTGCAGCACCTGCTGCTCCTCCAAAGTAGATCTGTCTTCCAATAAAAGTAAGTTTCTTGTTTTGTTTAGTACTTTGTCTAATTTTTTTTTCTGAATTATAGCTCGCTCTTCCAACATTTGTGCCATTTGCTCTACTACCTTTGCCAGTCTATTAAAGCAGTTAATCTGATTTTCCATCAAATTGGTTCCAATTGTCACAGTAGTTGTTCTTAAAATTTTGCTGAAATAAATGTTGTCACACCAGTTTGCGATTTTTTTCTTTTCCGCTCGAAATAATCCGTTATTATCCTTTTCCCGTTGATTCCCGATGAAGTTTTTTGTTGTTTTTATCGTGCCATTGACCCTCTGCGAATAAACAGATTTGCACGTTTTGCAATCGATTTTTGCCTAGCTGTCAATTCATCACTTCCATCTCTTCCAAGGTATTCTTCAGCGGTTTGAGTTTAATGTAGGCCACTTTCAGACCAGTGCCGTTACCCTCGTTTACTGTTACACAGTTACGTCTATTCTGACTCTCAGCAATGCTGCGATTTATTTTCACCGAAATGTCTTGATAATCGTTTAAAACAGTGTTAAAACCAGTGTGCCAAAAATTAAAAATGAGTGAGAGATGCGCACCATCTTCTTGTTGTTGCTGTTCAGCGTTGACGTTTTCGCCTTTTTCTGGAAATTTCCGAGAAATAGTCGCCACACTAGAGATGACAGTTTTGAAAACACTGCCGGTATTACCAGTAAGTTTAATAAATTTATGAATAAAAAAATCACATTTTTTGTAGGTAGAATGTTTGTAACGTTATTAGGATATCCTCCAAAATGTGAACAAAAAGGTATTTCGCATTCTTGCACTTTATCCTTTGCTTGCTGGTTAGTGGGAGGATCGAGCCAGCCAGGATGTGGAGCCAATCCTTGGATTGTAGCTTGCTGCGTTACATCGCAAAAAGTTTTAAACCGAAAAAATGACATTCAACAACTTCAGTGAGTAAGCTTTTTATTAAAGAATGCCTTTACTGTTTTTTTTTATTAGGGTAAGAGAGGACAGTTTAATTCTGCCAGTCCTGCAAAAGCGCATCGATGATTTGGGCGAAGAATGCGGATTATCTGCTGACAGAATGTTAATGAAACGTATAATTGGAGGCGACGAAGCGAAATTTGCACAGTTTCCATGGCAAGCATTCATTAAAATATCCTCGTATCAATGCGGTGGCGTTTTAGGTGAGTTTTTAGTTTTAATGAAGAAAATACTGATCTATGTTTGTAGTTTCGCGAAAATTTGTAGCAACGGCTGCTCACTGTATCATTACAGCGCGGCTTAAAGACACTTTGGTTTATTTAGGAGAACTAGATACACAGGACACTGGCAAAGTAAAGGAATTAGAACCGGCTGAATTACATAGGGTAGAGTATTGTCCGTGAGTTTAAATACACAAACAAATTGTTTTGTTGTACATTGTTTGAGTTTATTAGAGAAATTAGAAATGAATAATAAAGCTGCTTTATGCAGTACAGAATTTCACTAAATTTGTAAGTAATACAATTTAACTGGCTTCTTTTTTTGTTATTTTAACAAAGACAAATTACTAATTATGAGTATAACGAGTTTTGTGGATACAACTGTTTATTTTCTCTGTAATGCGAGTTAATGATGAGATATCTATGCTTTTGTGTAAAATCAATGTAGTTAAAAAATGTAAACATAAACTTTTAAAGCAAAATGTTGTTTGAGTCATAAAAAACTACTTTCAATTTTGATTAAAATTTATGTAAAGCTTACTTTTATTTGCAATGTACCAACTGTAAAAAACTGAGAAAACATGCTTTAAATTTAATTTTTAAATGAGAAACTTGTGATCAAAGAACTGTTGGTAAAATTTTATAAAGAATTAAATAGAACGCAAGTAAAATTTTTATTTCAGGCTGCTTAGCTAACATCCTTGGGTAGTTTTCTGTATGATCACATTTTCGCAAAAATTATTTCGTAAAATAAAACTGGAAATACAACAAATTCGTTTATTGATTATTATTGTAGAGATAGCGCCTTTAAATGTAATTGCCTACTTCTACTTTTTTGGAATCGTCATATAGCTCTAGTTTTATTTATTTTTAGTTTACATACACTTGTATTTATTTAATTTTTGTTGCTTTATTTGCCTTTCTTTTAAAAAATATGTCATCAATTAATTTATAAAATTAACTTATTTGGTAGTTTTTATTTTAATTTTTTGTGACAACTGAATTGTATGAAGCTATATAATTTACTGAAAATGCACGTTAAAATTTTGACACAGAAGATATGGCAATATTTGGTCCTTAGATCACATTTAGTTGAGGTAAAATCACACGTCCTGTTGATTTTCAGGTTCGTCGACGAATAATCCACCCCAACTTCCAGTTTCGCACGACCCAGCCTGACCGCTACGACCTCGCCCTGCTGGAACTAATCACCGAGGCGGGCTATTCGTACCACATCTCTCCCATCTGTCTCCCTACCAGCGACATGGTTCTGACCGGGCGAAACGCCGTGGTGGCGGGCTGGGGCAAAATCCAGCCTTCCAACGAGCTCATGGGCACAAACGTCCTTCGCAGCGCCACCGTGCCAATCTTAGACATTCGCGAGTGCATGGCTTGGCACGAGATCAAGCAAATTTCCGTCGAACTGCACGAGGAGATGCTGTGCGCCGGTCACGAATCCGGAAAACACGACGCTTGTCTGGGCGATTCCGGGGGACCGTTGATCGTGCTGGAAAACGGGAGGTGGACGCTGGCAGGGATCACCAGCGCCGGATTCGGCTGTGGAGAGCCTCATCAGCCCGGAATTTATCATAAAATCCCGGTGACAGCTGACTGGATCCGATCTGTTATTAGGTTGTTATAGTGAAATATTGAGATCGGCTGGATTTCGATGTTATGGCCTGTCCGGCGGCATTTCCCGAAGATTGATGGGATTTCGGGGTTCATTAATTCTAGTGAGAGCTAAACTTTAGTGTGTGGAGATTAAATTGCCGTGCAAATTGAAATTGGCATTATTTCATATTAACGGGTCTATAGTGCATTTAATTTTAGGAGCAATTTCATTAATATTTAATATACGCTTCAACGTAGGCTGTCAATATTTATTACTACTTACAAAAATACTCATTAAATAACGTAAATTATGTTTTATTGTTGTAATATTTAAGATAAATTTATTCCATCAATTTCATTTGAATGAAAAATGTGATATGTATTAAGTAATTTACTGTAATCGTATTGTATGGAGTTCAGGAAATATAGTAAGCGAATATTTCAAAATTCTCTTCATTTTATAAAGCTTTGATTTTTATTTAGATTAACTAAAGAACGTTAACAAAAACAAATACTTTTCACAATCTGCCGTTTTTATTGTAACACGTGAAAATAAAAAATACGCATTATTAATTACAGAATTTAGAAATAGCAGTTATTTTTTACATCTTTTATTAAACAATTTTATTTAACAACCAGAATATGCATTCAAGCAAAATTGTGGAAATTTGACAGTTTCAAACCTCGCCGATGTAAAATATTCCGGACAATTCAAACACGTTGGAAAAATTTTAAAAATCAAAGCCATTGTTAATGTTACAAAAACCAACATAAATAAAATATTTTACCAAATACCAATTTTACTAAAATATTTCATGTAAATTCAAATAGTATTATAAGAATAAAATCAAAATCTCTACTAAAATACAAATCTTAATCAAAACATTTCAATATATTAAAAAATAAAAATAAATTTGTATATAAATGTAAGCCATTTTAATCCTGAATAAGTTTTTCCTCAATTTATTTATTTGATTTATTTTTTGAATATTACTTGTAGCAGCGATATAAAACTCAAAAGTATGTAATTTACACTTCTAATTTATCTTCTCGTTTTAAATTGACTTATCTGACTATTTCTGCTGTCATTACGTAGGGTAATTTATAATCGTTAAGTAGACATTTTTTTAACAAAAGTAAAGCTGTTATTGAGCAATCATTTAATCTTAAAAAATAGCTTCATTTCCAAAGCAATTTATTACGATTTTAAGGTAGTGTCAACTTTGTTAAGATTTTTAAAGCAAAAGCTTGATGTTTTTTACCACATTTCAATAATTTTAGAACACTGACGAGCTCGTAGAGACACGATCATCAAAAATTTGCAAACAAAACTTTCAAGCTTACTTCCTTTTTAAATTGAGTTTCCACAACATCAGACAAAAAGTCGTAAAAACAAGTTACCGGCAGATTTTCCTTGAAATTCTGTTCAATATCGTATTTTTTTCTAGTTTTAGGTATATATTTTAACAGGTCACGAAATTAAAAAATAATGTGTAAGAGCAAGGTGTGAAGACGATCGTAATCGTTAGGCCTACCGACTCAGTCTGTAGGTTAAGGTTAGAGTAATGACATACTTTCTCAAAGAAAGGTCTAAGTCAGTGCAAGGAATGTCAAGAGAAAGCAAAGTACGAAGCACACCGATCGAATTCGGACCGGAAGTATCATAAATGACGCAAAGTTATCGCTGTAATAAATCCGTCTTAATTAAAACAACTTGGTCGGTAAGGTTCACTCCCTCGGGAAAATTAATTCAAGACAAGTCGTATATCTTCTCTCCTCCGGAAAATCACAAGGTAGAGGAGATAATATCGAAATGAGCTTCTAGATGAGTGCATCACTTTTTATTATAACCTACTATTCTCAATGGTAGTGGGATGAAAACAACAGTAAATTATACAGTGCCATGATTCGTAACTTTCCATATTGAAGTTTTGTATTTTCTCAATTAATTGCCGGTAATAACAATAATAAACCTCAAATGTGGAGCAAGCTTCTGGAAGTGGCAGAAATTCGACACACGCCAAGTGAAAATGGCACTGTCACGTTTCTCTGATCTGCAAGAATTTCGATTAATTGCTTTTCACACTTTTTTAAAGTCTCCTCGAAAACATTGGCCCACTTAGCCGCTGAACTTTACACAAATCAATCACTTGTTCTTCTTGTACAATTACGTAACTCTGGTCGAAAATTCGCAAAAACTTTTCATTTCTGGCCATTGTTCTAGTTCCGGTGCTTCATGGTCGATTGGGCGTCTTGTGTATCGGATCTTAAGAGCGTATTTCGCTTGCTCCAAAAGAGAAATGATTGAAAAACGAAATGTTTTCAGATAGCCACCGGTCTAAAAATTAAGATTAAAATTTCTCCCATGTAAGTGTGACTCGGTGTTTTTACTCTCAGTTGTGTCCGCAACTCTTCGGGATTAGGATCGAATATTTATCGATTTCGATCGGTGTGCGTGTAATAAATGGTGCTAACTTTAATAATTCATGGAAGACAATAAGTGAAAACAAAAAGAACACGCTCTACTTCACGGAACGAAAATGCGACTTAATTATTGTCTGAGATTGTTGTCGGTGATGTGTTTTTTGCCACCGGCGTTTATAGAGTGTTCCGAAAACGACATCAAAGGTACCAATCAATCACTTTCAACGAGTGTGCAATTTTCGGATAGAAAGTGAAGCCGCTTGCTACAACATTCGCTGATCCCATTGTTGAATTTTTCAAACCTAAGCAAATTCCAATTTCACACTCAAATTATTTGAAAAAGATTTATTGTCTCACCCCTTCTTTACACGCATTTTTTTACAGAAACTTTCCCAACGAAGCCGGACAAAAAAAATTTAATCTATCCGCCGCCGAAGACGCGCTTTTTCGACGAAATTGGTCGTAAGTAAATTACTGTTATTTAACATTACCATAAACAATGTATTATGACAGATGCAAATTACAATAGTATGCCTCTCATAATATTATTGTCACCTTCCGCACTGACACACATAAAATAATTAGGCATTAAAACGAAGACAATTCGAAAAAAATGTCTTTTGTCTTATTTCCGGAAAAGTGTCGAAGAAGTAATCCAGGCCAACCGAAAACACAATTGAGTTTGTTATGTGAATTTGCCTTCAGCCGGTCGACAACTGTCATCTTTTAGAAAGACCCGGACATAAATTATCAAACCTCCGATGTACAACAATAAACCATTTAAAGCCTGGTAGCGCTTTTCGTAATTTTTTAAACAAGTTAGGACCTCCGAACAAACGGAAACAAACCTGACTTATAAAAGTTTAACGTCCGTTTCTGCACGACTTGGTTCAAATCACAGAACTATTTTTTTCTGGAATTAAATCAGCTTTACCAAGAGATATTTTTAGCGTGAGGAGTATCCGATACGAAGACGAGAAGAAAATACTTGATGATTAGATTTTACATCGAAAATTTGATTAAATCAATTTCAAGTTAGTAAGAAGTGTCAGAAGTAATTTTATTTCTGAGCTTTACACATTTTGACATTAAAACAATTCTAAAATTAATGTTTTTGGGTTTTGTGGGTAATGATTTAATATAAAAACTACAAAAATAACGTAAATGTTTTGGTTAAAAATTGGTGTTAATTAAACCTGTGGTAATAGTTGCTTAGATAAGTAAAATTAATACTACCTACTAAAAAGTAGTTGCGACGGGTAGGCAACTGAGATACTGATTACTGACACACATATTTTAACAACAACTCAAAGACTTAAATAAATTCATCCACTTATTGTGTTTTTCGCAAAGAAATACATGTATTTATTAGGTATCTGCATCAAAAAGTAAAAATTGCATAATATTGCATTTCTTCTAGTTAAGATTCCTTGAATTTAATTAAAAGACGTAAAGAATCGAATATCGCTTGTCACAAAAGTGGAGAAATGTGATCTTAGTTTCGAGATATGATTAAATTTTGAAAGTCGGAACCCCACCCTTACATTAATTTCTCTGAAATCTGGATGTTATGTTGACATTTGTTTTATTGAAAATGTGAAAGTACAGTAGTACACTAATCTGATAAATATGTTTACTTTTTTCATAAAATTGAATAAATGAAACAACAATTCACTTTTCATATCTTGTTTTCAAAATTAGAATACAATTCGAAGTAATAATGCGCTTTTACTTTTACTGAAATAATAAACTAACCAAAAATTAAAAGAAAACAATCATTTTTATTGTTACGTTCTTGAGAATTTGAGAGTGCGTCTGATACATAAATAAATGTTCCCATTCTATAATTTTATCAAAGAATGTGTTTTATTAAAATTGTTCCTTTGTAGATGTTGATTCATTGCTTTGCTACGCAAATTTAAATAAAAGTAATTTAAGCTAAAAGAACATTCGTCTTTGACAAATAAGTTAGAAACGTGAGTCGGGAGATGTTAAGATTAATTTCAAGTGGGTTTAGTTCAAGTTAAATTCCTCAATAAATCTAAAATTGTCGAGTACGTTTCTACCGTTACTCAACAAGTTTATTTATTTAATATTTTCATATTAATATTTTCGGAACTTATGCAACGTTTCGTAACAATCCTTGACTCCACATATCGTTGCAATGTGTAATTCTGATAATAATCAGTTTCACCAAAAAGGCATTTCAAGCTGGGTAATTTGCCTGGTACTATTCCTTCCTGTTTGTAAACCGTTGGCGTTGCGGAAATTGAGAAAAACGGCAATCATCCTGATCATCGTCAATCAATGACATTGTCTCCAAAGACGTTCCGCTATACGCTTTCAGTACTAACTGGCTCACCAGTAAAAGTGAAAGATACTGAACTATCCAAACAAACAAAGCGAAGCTTTCACTTGGTTCAAAAATAGTCGACAATTGCGATCAAGCACCCTCCTAGTACCACATTAAGTTGGAATTTGTCTCCCTTAAGTACAGTTTCATGTCAATTATCCTATCCGGAATCGCCATCACCGCTTTCACTTGCTGTAAGTGCACTACATGCCATCCGTGTCGGATCTTCGTTGGTGTCTTCAGCACACGCTTGGTACTTCCGATGGTGGAAAGTTGTGCTCCACATGTGCTTAGTAAGGAGGTGAGTGCTGTGCCGTGAACATGGGACGCGGTGTGCTGGTGTTTGTGTTGGTGATGGTGCTGGAAGGCGTCAGGACGTTGCCCAACGAGAGGCAAGCCCAGGAGTTGCTCCTGTTGGACGCTTTAGGAAAAAGGTCCGGAGTGGGATCCACAGAACAGAACAGTCTCATCGACATGTTGGGAAGAAGTAAGTCCCATTAAGTGCCGGTTCTCACAAGCTTGCGCAAGTTCCCTGTGAAGACTTACCCTTGAAAGGCTTGTCTGGGGTCGGAAGTTGATGTGGGTCGCCCTGATATGGGTCAAGACAACCGTTTCAATTTTTAAAACTTGCAATTAAAAAACAATCTCGAGACCATTTTGTCAAATCGTGGTAAATTTTTGTACAATAGTTTGCGTGTTAAATAAAATCATTTAGAACAGTTAGTTTGTTTTATATAACAGTGTCCATAATTAGATCGTTATATTCATGTTTAATTATCGCTCTTTAAATTGCCGCAATTTACTTCGCGAAATCTTCCCTCGAAAAGTTTGTACTTTTCCTGGACTATTGAGTACACTTCAAGCTCAGTTATTGGAGCGGATAATTTCATTTGCAACGTTTTCTCATGTTAGCAAAAACACAACAAAGCTTTGCTATCATTTGAGTTAAAATGTTTCACAATTCTGGTGATGACAGTTGGTCAATTCTGATTTCTGAGGAAAATTTTCATTATTCCGAATCGGAATCGGTTCACCGAGCCGTACAAAGAGTAATAATCCTGAAACTTTCCATTATGATAGCAGGGATTGTAGTCCTTAGGGTGGGTAATGTTGCAAATATAAAATCGATTAGCTTTCAAATGACGGGATTTGAATAAGTTGGGTTTGCAGGATTTATTTTGATATGCCTACAAACACAAGGTAATTCCGTATTTTGCACAAATTATATAATTATCTGTGGCGTGACTTTACGATTCAAAATTAAATTTTTAAATATGAGGATTAAAAACTTTAGAAAAAACACTGACTTTTCTCATTAAGTGCAGATTACGACTGTAGATTTATCTTATTTGAGCTATTTTCTTTATGAGCAAAAGTAAACTTTATAACTTCTTTGCTCGTCGTTTTAATCTGCTATCGATTTTGCGGTAAGACCATTAAATATGAATAAGGAGTTCTTTTAGAATAAAAATAATATCTGAAAACATAGAGAGAAAAAGGATTTATTACTATAATCCAAATTTTAGGTTTGCATTGTTATTTTAATTAGATATATGGCCAATTATAGCTGTGCAAAATCTGAACGAATTACAACATTCTTTCTCTAGCAAAAGAGCTAATGATCGTTGCAAAATCTTGTGTTCTATACACGGAAATTGAATAAAATTGGTTCGATCGTTTAAACCGATGCGTTTTAACCTAAAATTACTTGTTTTTTCCAAACTGTAATAAAAAACAAATCTTCATTAAAATTGCTGTAATAAACCAAAAAGCTGGATAACTTAAAACAACTTTATTTGGGGTGTACGTATATAGCTTGAGACACTTTAATGGAAAATTGAAGTTTGTAGCATTTTTCCTCTCCCGTTTTAATAAAAGTTGCATTATTAAAAATAACTTTGTATAGGCGTATTACTTTTTCATTATGTTGTTTTTTCATTATGTCATATTTCACGCAAGATTTTCTTCCATGAATCTGCGTAATATTTCTCACATTTACATTAGCATCGCGGAAATAAATCTGCAACGTTTTAACCAAACTCGTTTAAAGTAAGTGCAAATAATTTTAACTGTAAAACTTTGCCACGAAATCTTTGATGCTCTAGCCATCAACAGAAATTTGTGACGTGGTAAAAAGTAATCCCCAAAGCCGCCAAAGTGGTTTTTTATAGCCGAGACTTATGAAAATTCTGCTGAATTGCTGATTCTTTTTTACTTTCATGCTTAGGATTCACATTCTCACAATTATATTTATTACAAATCATTTGCAATTGGAAAATGTATTACTTATTATACTTACAAGTAGGCTACTTGACTCAATTGGAAAAAAGGTAGAATATTGTATAATTTTTAGCACAAAACGTTTCATTCTCATCAGTTGCTCAGCGAGAGCAGCTTTAAAGCTGGAAGGTGCTGAAATTTCTCGTCCAGTTTGCTTATAATGTACCGCACTACAGAATCAGGAAGATAATACACATAAATTACGTTTATTTGAAAAACTGTCAGCGATGCAGCTGTGTTAGGAATATTTTTAAGACAAATTTATTCAACAAAAATTAAAATCTTAGAGTACAATATTTATATTCTTCTTATAAATAAAGTTAATTTTTTCTTGACAAATATATTCTTAGCTCTAATATGTCTGTTTATTTTTATTCATTATATTAATAGCATCCAGAGGTATTTTTCGAAAAGAGAATCTTGGAACAAATAAATCATTAAGGATTTTCTGGAAAGGTTGGTTGACATTAAACTACCAGTTGTTAACAGATGAAGTTACTGGAAGTTTTCCAAACAAATCTTTTCGAGATATTGCACCGTCTGCTTAAGCTGTCGTTAGCAAATGTTAAAACTTAGAAATGTCTTTTTTGCAGTGATACCTCAGTCATGTCGTTTCCGTGGAGTAAAATACGAGTGCGGTCTGTCCATTAGCTGCGTGTTAGGAGGAGGTCGCCCTTTAGACTTGTGTTCCGGAGGGATGATCTGGGCATGTTGCGTCGACCGCGAAGTCCAAACACCTACTCACCATCCTGACGTAGGTGTCCTCAATAATGCTAGTAAGTCTAGGCCAAAGCGGCTCTCGATAAGTGTACATAAAACATTTATGTGGTTTATAACGTGCGTCCGTGTAAATTCATTATACTAACATTAATAACTAACACAAGTAGACACTTATCATCTAGTGGGATATTACCCTCCGGACCCAGACCACCCGGATTCCAACAGTGTGGATAGACCGCCTTATAGGCCCTACTACCACGACCCGGGAGACGATAGGCCGCCGCCTTTTGAAGATGGCTACCAGACCGAGCCTCACGTCCAACCACCTAATGCCAGGGGTAACATTAACCACAGACTAACATCAGCACTAATGCTGTCAAGAGGCACCATCCTTTAGACGTAGTTGTAAAAAAAAAATATGGTTTTGTATGCTAAGGTCTTCAAAGCTGAATTTGCACAGAATCGCTAAATTCTCCTTTTGTAAATGAAACCGGGTTTCGGTTGAAAAAGAAGGAAACAAATGATATGCTTATGCGAGGAAAAGAAAGTTCTTTGTCTCGAAAACCTTTAGAAAGGTTTGTGCATAATAAATCCTTTTATAAATAAAAACTGTGGTTATACCGACACAATAAAATTTTAATTGTAATTTTGATTCTTATCACGTTATGAAAAGAAAGCAGCACAACTATTGTTGAAACTAATCCTTTATGAATATCATATTAAAGTCGTGATGTATGTTGTAACATTTAATGTTAGATTTTGTAAATAGCTGCTAAGGTCGTTCATTTTTCTACTCTTATTTTTACATAACAAATTTGAACTTCTAATATACCTACGTATAACTTAAAATTAACTTTGATTTACTTAACATAACAAGTAAATAAGTAGATTATGTAGCATTTCACTTATTTTTTACACTATAATTTGGCATGTTCTTGATAATATATTTAAACATTTTGGCGGTGTAGTTTAAAAATTATTTTTATGGTTTCATTTCCCATTCTACAACCAGTATACTAAAAATGTGTTATGTAGATTTTATCCAAACACAAGTCTTGCTAAATTTTCTGTAGACTGTTTGTTTTTCCACAGTTGGAGAATTTCGGTATAAGGTAAGGCACTGTTTATGTTAACAATTGTACATTGTTTAGATTAGTCACTAGAGAAGCAAAACTATACCTACATTCCAAAAGGATTAAAAAAACACGTCAAAATAAAATAAAATTTTACGTACATAATAATAATCCGAAGATTACCACTTTTCATTAAAAAAGGTAGTAGAAAATAAGTTTTTAAAAATTTATACTACGAGCAAAGCTATTTCAATAAAGTTTGTTTTTATTGAATTGGAATATGACATTTTTCAAAATGTATAAATTCTCAGCTTTAAATTTTTTTAAGTAATAAGTATAATAAAATTATTAAATTATAACATACATATTATTTTTCGGCTTTGCTTTAACACCCGTAGACTAACAAAATGAATTAATAAAAAAATAAAATGTGCATTTTTTTAAATATTTGTAGATTTTTAACAATTGAAACCGTATTTAGTCCAATCAAAAAACGTTTTTCTTGTCACTGCATCTTCTAACTTGTTAAAATTAGATGACCTATCTGCTCTTTTCTCCGTAACATTATTTACTTTCTGAACAAATTTTATACAATTTTCATTTTCAGTTATTTCAACAAAATAAACTTTCATTTTTTTGTCTTTTACGTAAAAACACAAGTTTGCTCTAAATTAACTAGTTCCAACTTCTCTAAATCGCAACTTAATAACGGTTTCTGTGTCAGTAGTAATGATTAAAAATAATTGAAATATCTGCTTTTGTTCTTTTTTGAAGCCAAACTCTTTTCACGTTTGTTAGTGTCAATCTTTTCTGAAGTTTTTGAATAAAACATCACAACCGTGCAACTTCTTGCAAACATAAATAAATTCTTCCTCACCGCGATTCAGCATTTCATTTCACGATCCTTTCTAGGTTTCCTCTCGGCTTAAAATGCAAATCTCACTTTTGATTATTTTAGGTTGTGGCGAGCTGTACACGAGGAGCAACAGGATTGTGGGTGGCCATTCCACAGGATTCGGATCGCATCCTTGGCAAGTGGCTTTAATCAAAACAGGATTTCTCACAAAGAAGCTGGCCTGTGGGGGAGCCTTACTCAATGAGCGATGGATCATTACAGCTGCACACTGCGTTGCAACGTGAGTGTTTTCATGCTGTTTGATCTTTCTATTTCGGGGATGTTATAGGACCGCCAACGGGAACATCCGAGTCAGGCTAGGGGAGTGGGATGTGAGGGATCAGGACGAGAAATTAGCACATGAGGAGTATTCAGTTGAGCGCAAAGAGGTCCACCCTGCGTACTCGCCATCGGATTTCAAAAACGATCTAGCTTTAGTAAAATTAGACAGGAACGTGAGGTTTAAACAACATATTATTCCTGTCTGTCTACCTGCACCTACAGTAATTAGAGTAGTTTTAGACTAATTAATAGTTAATTTATTTCAAAATTTCAGTTGAAATTACCTGGAAAGGTGGCAACAGTGGCCGGTTGGGGCAGGACTCGCCACGGCCAAGCTACTGTGCCTTCAGTCCTGCAAGAAGTTGATGTTGAAGTTATTACCAATGATCGATGCCAAAGATGGTTCAGGGCTGCTGGTCGAAGAGAGACCATCCACGACGTGTTTTTATGTGCGGGTTACAAAGAGGCAAGTATTGACTTTTGAAAGTATTTAAAAAATTTGGATATTTTGATAGGGCGGAAGAGATTCATGTCAAGGCGACTCTGGAGGACCCTTGACATTGACAGTGGACGGTAGGAGAACTCTTATCGGTCTTGTTTCCTGGGGGATAGGATGCGGTAGAGAACATTTGCCGGGAGTTTATACCAACATCCAGAAATTTGTGCCTTGGATAGACAAAGTCATGAATTGACCCAGGAACAGTGCCAATGTGATCAAGCATAGTAAATTATTCGTAATGGGTGGATTAAGAGTGATAGAAAAGTAAATGAAATTATTTATTGTGTAGGATAAAAACACCAAAACAGCTTAAGTAGATTCGAGTGTGTTAAGTATTTATTAATTGATTGGAAAATTTATTTATCGTGTTCCCATTACTATTGTTGTACTTAACCCCTGTGATCGATTTTACATTTCGGCAGGGATTGAACAGAATAGTGCTAATAAGCTGTAAGTCTGTATCAGATCTTAAGTTTAGAGTATTTTTAAGTGTTATTGTACGAAATTTTATAATATTGCTATTATAACAATAAAAGTTTTGTAATACAACAGAGTTTTATTAAAAATAGGTTAGTAATTATTATTACAGTAATATTATTTAGTAATTATAATAAAATATATGTACTTATGTACGTAAATGCACAAAAAAAAACAGATTAGATTATTTATCTAGTTACTCATTAAATTAAATTCTTAAAAAAAAGAACACAATTCTACTGCTTATTCCTGTATTTTATAATTTGTTTATAGCATTAGCTAAATTCTCTTGAATTTTTATTAGATATAAGTTTATTAACTTTTTTAACATATTCCTTATAACTTCAGTTTTGCTCATATAGAATAACTTTTTTTAACACTTAGGTGTAATTTTTTGAATAGAGGAAATAACTCTTTATCAAATTTGCATAAATGCATATGTCTGTTAAGATTTATTAATTTACGCACCAATAAATGTTGTAATAACAAGATTCAGAATAAATTTTCTCGTAGATACCTTATACTACTAGTTAAACAACTATGTAATAATAGAACCAAAGTCTACATTGTTGGCATTATGGTTAAGAGTTTTATGCAAAAAATTAAAAATGTCTCTTATTAAGTAATCAAGTTGATTACTTGATAGTGCTTGTAGACATACTTACACATACTTAATGTATTTATTATTTTTTTCAAAAATATACCCTTTGGTGCTTTCGTGGGATTCCCTACATTTTTTCTGCTTAGATTCTTAATTCTCAAGCAAAAAATTGTTGTTTCAACATTTTCACCATTTCCATACTATACCAAAGTATTTTTTGGGTTGAACAACCCACCGACGGCACCTAATAGAGCTTCTAAAGCTCGCAACAAGTTCCCTTTAGAAAACCCGGAATTCAATTCTTCTGTCAGTGCAAGAAACGCATTGAATGTTGCCTGATCTATAGGCGCCGTGAGGAATCCTCATTAGGTACCATTAAGTTAGCACCTGAGCTCTCGTTATTCTTTCACAATTCGATCACCAAAGTAAAGTACTAACGGTACATCCCCTCCTTAAGTACCTGCACCAGCACTAGTGCTGCGCTACCGGGGAGTTCATCGACCCCCATGGTCTTCAGGATGGCAGAACTCTTCTTTAACCAGTCCCAACTCAACGTCGGACAGGTGATGAACGTCATGGGGATGGTGTCCAACTACTAGCGCGCGAATATTTAAAATTTCAAAAAGAAAATCACGAGTTTTAGTAATATGACTAAAAGTCGCTTCAGTTAACTAATACTAACTATTTTTAAAATTCTAATGAATTTTTGCAATAATGTCGGTGTGATTCAGTGTTAAAGTGTTAACTAATTTATTTTATTATTAATAGAGTTTATTGAACTGTTTGTATCCTCTAGTCTTAAAAAGGTAAGTTGAAGGGTTGGAGCTTATTTAAGGTCATGAGTTTTTAACACTTGACCTACATTTTATGCATGGACAAATATAATAACAGGTTTTCGGGAATAGTTGTTGTAGTCTTCGTTAAATGTTTCAATCCGTTAGAATACATAATTAATGAAACTTCAACTTGTTGCATGCATAACATAAATTAGTGGCATTTGATTGTTTTTCTTATTCCAAACTTCAGATTTCCCTAGGGATTTTCCGCGCGAAGCGAGTCGGGAATAATTAAGTTTATTCAACCACCAACTTTTCCCATCAATTCACAATCGGAAACTTTTCAATTAACTCGTTCACAATTATTATCAAAACAATTAGTTCTATCTTCTTTTTTTCTTTGAAATCACTGACGTTAATTCCCATCATAATTACACTCGAAGTGACAAAAAGAATTTACAAGAAGATTGGGCAGCGTGTCCGAGCAGTCAGTGACCTCCTGGTGGAGCGTTGGCCCTCTCTTGCAATCATTGCGAGCTAGTTTCATATTCTCAATTTCCTGCTGGTAGTGCGGGTCAGATTCGCAAGCCCTAAAAATATTTTTTCTTCCAGATGCTGCCAACAATTTTAGTTACGTTTGCCACTTTCTTGTTGGAGTTGTGTACGACTTCCCCTGTATATAACATGCAACCAGCGTTCATCACTGCCAATATAGGTAAGTCTTGAAATTTTTCAGACGGGATATGAATTTTAAAGGGTGAAAATGGTGCGTTCGGTGTCATGTATAAAAACCCCGTAGCTTAGAATTCCGTTCAGTCTTCCAAATTCGAATAGTTTGTGTTAAAACCGACTGAAGTGCAATTGCGTTGGCTGAAATAAAGAAAATTGGCATTGTTGACATACATTCACCCACACACATGCCTATAACACTCAAACGACCTCAATACCGATTTCCTTACAAAACTCCAAACACACAAACCAACAATTTTTAATTGAAACTAGATAATAAGTCACAAGATTTGACTGAAGCGTTGAAAGACCCTGACCGAGAAAGAAGGAAGAATGATTCAGTGAATCGTGTAATCGTAAAGCACCATCACGGAATACGTGGTGTGAAATTTTAAATTTGCCTTTTACCAGGAAGTTGAAGGTGCGTGAAGATTTTAAAGTATTTTCAAGGACAGAAATTTGTACACTAAGATGATTTTGAGACAATATAGCCTCAAAGACTGAAAATTAAATTGAACAGTTGCAACGACTTGACGAAAGATTCACTGATTCCAGGGTTAAAGGGAAACTTGACATCAATTCAAATCACTTTCTTAATTAAGAGCTTCGCCTTATCTAGTTGAATGTCGGTACCCTTATACGATTTTATGAAATATAATACCAGAAAAGTAATTAACTTTCACTAGTGAAATGCCCAAAGGCGACAGACGGATTTTTACTAACTGGGAACAATTTTTATTGATTTCCTTTGCTGGCATGTGTGTATTATTTAACAACAAAAATATTACTGACAAAGTAATCGTTCTATTGTTTATATTATTTTACTTGATATTTATTATACACAGTAAGCGGCAAAATTATAAAATAATCTTATTTCTTAAAATTGAAAATATTTTGTATTGACAAAAACGCTCAAACAGGTCAATTTTCTTTTTAAGAAATACAAAATTCTCTACTTGATTTTAAATTATATGTTTGTTTTTTGTTGATATTACTTCACTTTTTGGATGATTTTTTTTCGAAAACTTTATGTAATATTTAATATTTTAGGGTTGTCATTTCGACAATTAAAAGATCTATTAAATTGCCTAAAAAAATTAGGTGTTTCTGTTTAAAAAAGTGGCAATGAGGTCATTACTAAATAACCAAAAAGTGTAATTTTTTTATTGATCTTTAAATTGACCTATTCGAGCAAAACAAAATATTTATAGTTTTAATAAGAATATTCCATATTTTTACCGCTCACTGTATAAATAAATCAAATTATTGTACAAATGTATTTTTAAACATTCACTAGAACGTGTTGTTGATGTTGTTTACAAACTTATTTTCTATATTTTTACTTAGAATTAACTAAAGTTTATAATTTTAATAGCTTTAAAATTAATAAATGATGTCTAATTATTAATTTTGAAAATTATGCGTCGATTTTTTTTCTAAAACCAGATTTAGTGGGTTTTGACCTGTGAATAATATTACTAATGACTAAAAAATTGCTTAATCAATACTTCTTCTGATACAAAGATTCAGTTGCTTTAGCTCATTTATTTCAAATTATAATAATATCAAAAAAAAAACAGCGATAATAACAGTGATAACATTGAAAACTTTTATTATCAACAATAGTAATTTTGAAAATAATTTTCCTTAAATCTTATTTATTGGAGTTCCAGTAAACAAATTTTTAAAGTTGGTTGGCATAATTGGAGTTAGATAATGAAGTATAAAAAGAATAACAGTATTCCTACAGCATTCCAAATTTAATTTAGTTAATAGTCAAAACAGATTTGGTCGCACATCTTAGTTGAGTTTTTTTGCAAGCAGTTTTCGTTTTCTCATGAAGCCGATTATCTAAATAAGAAGAAATAACTTCCTCTAATTTCGTCAGTGTTTCATTTAAAATTCCGTCTCACGTTCTTTAAATTCTCCATCTCTGAAAACCCCAATGAGTCAAAGGCTTTCATTTCGAGCTAATCAATCTAGGTCCAACTTTCCCCTGTTTACCTTTCATGATAAAATGAATCGTCAAAAATTCTTTAAGATCCTATTGTTACTGGGTCAGCAGTGCCAAACCTGGAAGAATCGCGGGTTTCACCCACTGAATCATACCATGGGTGTGAATATAGCGGTAACTTTAAAAACTGTCAATCGCCTCGACCTTTATGTGTAAATCAGGATCAAGGCGATTGTTGTTATTATTACGACACAGTTATTGTCGATGCTAGTCGCGCAATGCATTCACTCGTACGTGATACCATTGCAGATGGGTTTGCATAATAGACAGATTCGGAAATGAATACTCTGTAGTAATGGTGGAGTAAATTAATTACCAGGATTGGTAGAATTATTGCAAAGGAAATGGTTTGTAATGGACAAGAATAATTGATGATATCTATCGTGCGAACTTCCTTAATGGCATTTTGCACATAAATAATTCGATTCAGTTCGAATCAAAGCTAACGGAACGTCGGCAAATGAGATTTCACAAAAGACGGCGAATATTTTCTTTGAGAATATTGATCCGGATTTTGGTTCGCAATCCGTGAAGCTGATCAAAAAAGATCAGAACCAAATGAAACGATGCTTTCAGTTCACAGAGTTTAATTTGGACCAATTGAACGAACTCATAGACTCAAATTAATATCATCCCAAGATTAAAGTCGTCTAGAATGGCACTTTTGTAATGCCTCACGTTTCATACTAATTAAATACCTAGGCCTAGTAACTGGTTTTTATTTAAATTACTCTTTAAACATTCTTTCTAAATTCCTTGCGTTGGTAGTACCTACCTACCAAAGCTATTTAATGTTATCCCAAGGAAGTAATTGTGTCAATTTCGGCGGGACTATTCTCGCGACCAGTGGCTACCACTGGGCCAAGGTAACGGGACCAGTAACGTCAGTGTTAGAAAGAGACAGTCAGCTGTTTAGTACGGAATGCATGCACCGTTAACCAGCAGCAACCATCATCCTCATCAGAGAGATGGCCAGTTTTCCGAATGTTCAAAAATTGTCATATTATGTAAAAAAATCTTTACCATTATTATAAATAAAAAATAACTACCAACATTTGGGTCAAAAAGTCCCGTTAAAATTGAACCAACGCAATGAAAATTAAAATTGAACAAGAAATTGGAACAGTAGAACAATAACTGTTATAGCCGCTCGTGTTCTTTATGAGATACAATCAGATGTTTTTACTTATGTTGTAAGAATTGCATTACTGACATACTTCTACTCTAAATCAATTTTTCTTTTTGCAGGTACTGTAGGAAGAAATATTCGAAATCTACCCTGTATTTCGAGAAAAACCAACCAAAGTGGTGTTTGCATGTTTGCAATAGATTGTCTAAAAGCGAATGGCACACATTTAGGAACTTGTATAGATCGCTTTTATTTCGGCTCGTGTTGTCATATAGAACCTGTTAATGATATCATAGATAATACAATAGATGATATAATCCCAGCACGAGAACCACCACAAAGACTTTCGAGTACTATCAAACCAATAACTACAACAACTAAAACTGAGAAAACACCATCAACTAAAACAACAACTACGACACCTGCGACAACAGCAACTAGAAAAGTGTTTACAACAAACACGACTACGACAACAACAACAACAACCACAACAACAAAAAAACCATCACCACCGTCAACAATAATAACAACAACAACAACAACAGAAAAATATGTGCCTTTAAAACAAGAAGAAGCTACAACAGTTGGTTACAAATTAACCACGTTTCAATCGGTTGACGGAAGCATTTCTGTTGAAACGACAACAACAAGCTCTAAAACGACCCATAAATCTAAACCAACCAAAGTAACTCCAAAACCGACGAAAAGTACCCCTAAACCTGTTCGAACTACAATTAGTACAAAAAAACCTACAAGTAAACCTGTACTAAATACGACGAAAAAGCCAGTTCTAACTACAGGTACAACGCGACGACCTACTACAACAATAACTACAACAAAAACAACAACAACACGTAGACCGAGTACTACAACAGCTGTACGGAAACCAAATACTTCAACAACGCAGAAACCCCCCACAGTTTCTACTCGTAGGCCTTCTACAACTTCTACTCGAAAACCTACAGTTTTCACTCGTAAATCGACAACAACAACGAAACCAACCAAACCTAGTACTACAACAGTTACGACTAAACGACCTGTTGATACTAAACCAACAACTCGTCCAGTAAAAATTACGACAACAACCACCACAACCACGACAAAAAAAACTAGTACTGTAGCAACTACAACTCCTAAACCCACAACTATAGTAATCAGGAACGTGACTCAAGCGTCTGAAAGTAACGAAATCGAAACCGTGTCTTCCTCAACCGTGAAACCACCAAGTACCACCGCCGGTTCAATAGTCACTTGGACCATCGTCAACAACGAGAAAAATGTTTCGGCACCAACGACTTCCAGTTCCGTTAACAGTACAAGTGAAGGTAAATAATTATACCTTTTAATAGCCAATTACATCGACTTTATCGACGATTTTCGCTCACTACTAACTAACTGTTGTACAAATTCCGTTAAATGTCTACATGGCTCCTATTTATTTTTCCTGACGCTCTACTTTACCGTTTTGGCACAGAATGGCTCCCTTTGACAACTCCAGACCACTGGGTTCCCCTGCCCAGCGTCCAGGCCAGTACCCAAGCAGCGTCTCCTTCCACAACCGATAAACCGTCGACGACTGAAAGTGCAAGTAAACCGTCCATCACGTATATACCATTGGAATCTACAACCTCTTCAGTGACCTTGAATGTGTCGACTGTGGTCACTGAAGGAGTTGTTATATCGCAGTCGACACCTACCAGCTCTACTCCTCCTTCGGCGACGGGGGGATCCGACACGGAAATTCGGCCGGTCAACATGAGTGACTTCACGGATGGTAAGTGACTTCATACACACAGAAAACTGCCGCAACTCAAGTCTTGAGGTCACTGAGATTTATCTTAAACTATTTTCAATTATAATTTACAGCCTTCCGACACATTTGCTAAACAGGGTCGTAAAAGAACTAGTAACTTCAGTATTTAATGATGGCAGTAGTAAATATGACCACAACACGAGACCACAACTGATGACTGAGGCTTCTAATAAAAGTACCCTTTGCTGTGTTACAGTTTGATTGATTTCGACCCAATTTCGATGCTTGTTTAATTACGAAAAATTGGTACAATAAAATGTACTTTAAGACCATTTTGTTAAAAATTCACTTACATATATATAAAATAAATGGTATCTTAGCACACTTTGTCAGATTGCAGACTTGAAAAGGTTCTATTATATAATGTAATATCGTAACAATAAGCTGCTTTCAATAGCAGGACCATGCTGGAGCAATTATCCTTGCAATGGCATTTTAACTAGCAAAACAACTGCTTTTATAAAGAAATATTCTATTATTAAAAACAGAATAATTGACATAATTATCAAATGTTGAGCATAAGTAGGTAACTAAAATACTTGAAAACTACAAACTGCGGATGTTACCAATTACATAAATTTTATGAGTAGAAATAAATTTTGAATCAACACAAGATTACGGTTATAATTAGTTGTTTGCAGTTTAATAACCATTATTACAATTCACTGTTGATTTATTGTTTGTTTTTGCCTGGAGGTAAAAAAGTACGCACTTCAGCTAAGCCTTTCATTTTCTTCTGTTTAAAATTGTTTTTTAAAGACTTTGACCCTAAATTTCAAGTCGTTAAACGAGCAAATGTAATTTTAGCATTAGTAAGGAGCTAAGTGTGAATAATCGTTAAAATATGTATGTGAAAAAATGGTTATCATTTAAAGTGGAAAAATGTGATTTAAAAAAAAAATTCTGAATATCATTTTTAACGACACACCCTCACATGTAATTTTATCGTGTCAAAACCACCCGCGTCTAGTAAATTTTATCACGACGGATCAATAAGCCGGAAAGTTAAACCTGCGTTTGAAAGTTTGTTAACGAAAAAGTTTAAAGAAATGTCGTTAAGGTAATCGTTTTGCTGTTCAGTGTTCAAAACTTGCCTCATTATTTTATGAGCAATATTTTTTCAGTTGATTGCATTACATGTACTAAGCTCATCTGCTGTATCTTTTAAGTGTCTACCGATAATTACTAAGTTAATGAGCGTCGAAAGAAAAAAATATTCACTTTATCAAACACCAGGGACGGACTTTGCAATTGTTTTAACACATCTCTCCTCATTTAAATATTTAATTCGTTCATTAAAGCTACGAATTTTCAAGTTGCGCTTTCAAACTTTAAAAGCTCGATCATAAACAAAGTTCTACTTCGATGTTCATAAATAATACGACAAAGTAAAGGAAACGGTCTGAAGTCAGTCTCTGGTCATGTGAAATGGTTCTTGAACTTTCAAGGTAAGTCGAAGCTCCAACCATTGGTTGCTCTCCAACCTCGACACTTAAAAATAAGACAATACAAAACAAGTTCGCATTTGGTCGCCGATAAGTGCCATAGAAAATTAAAGTGATGTTCGTTCTATAAAACAGATAATTAAATCCAGCCCAGAGTCAAGTTTATTGCTTAAAAATCGCGATAATTATAGATTGGCATGAATGCTGAAGTTTATTAGTGCTTTTACGACAAGTTGAGCGGCTTTTTCAAAGTTTTTTAATGTTCCTGTGTCGAATTCATGATGGTTATGTTAAGTTCGGCTCTGTTGTTGGCAACAGTTTGCGGACGAAGGATGTATCCTGAAGGGAGGATAGTTGGAGGAGAAAAATCATCTTTTGGAAAATGGCCGTGGCAGATCTCCTTGAGGCAATGGAGAACTTCTACATATCTACACAAGTGTGGGGCTGCTCTCCTCAACGAGAACTGGGCTATAACCGCTGCTCATTGCGTCGATAAGTAAGTTTGGTGCTTTTAGTCTCTCCTTAATTATTCAAAGAACCAAAAAGGGCAAACTTAATTAGACTGAGGTCATTTTATTATCCCCTTTTGTAAATGTCTTCGCCATCTTAACACTTAATATTTAATGTGCTTATTTAAAGCAATTAAATTTTTGACTTTTTGACAATCATTTCCAGTGGTAATTAAACAAAAAAACTTAAAAAAGTTTTATTACTGAAATTAAGATGAAATGATGTAAAAACAGTACATTTTAATTTCATGACTAAATTTTTAATTAAATTTCTGAAAAATTCAAAAGTAAAAACGAGTAACTTCGTTAACAAATTACATGACTTTAAAATTCTCAGAAACTTTAGGAAAATCCCAAGATATTAGAAATAACTCAGTTTAGTGTTTGGATGTCAGCTACAGTTTCACAGTTTCTAATGTTCTCTTTGACGTTGTTTTAACATTTACATTTATATAACTGCCTTTGGGTAAATATATTTCCTTTTCTTCCCAAAGTTTTTTGAGTTGTGTTTTAAACGTTTTTTGATTAAACTTTTGATCTTTACATTATCAAAAAAGCAAAGTAAAGGATAGTTTGTAACATTTCAAATAAACTTGAAATTATTACCGTGTTAATAATTTATACCATTGCAAACAACTTCGTTTTTTAATTATTTTTTCAACGCTAAATAAATATGTAAATTTTGTGAATATTTAAGAGGTGAATATGCTTAACACATCATTTTACAGTTACATTTTCTAAAATTTAGCGTTTCCAAACACTTTGTGAAACACTAATCGTCATTCTTTATAGTTAATTTCTCTACTGCTGCAGTTACTCTAAACGTGCAATATTCACACTCAACAATAAAATAAAAAAGTAGATATTTCTATGAAAACCCTCTGTAGCTATTTGATAAATTTTACCATGATTTTCTAGATTCAACATAAATAGGAACAATTTAGATACACGAAAAACATTGACTTGAAGAAAAAAGTAAAAACAAAATTTTTGCTATTACTCTGTCCCAATTTTGTCACGTGTGGATTTTTATTTTATTTTTCACAAAGCAGCGGAAGTGCTGTGCACCGTTATCCTTTCCAGTATCGTTTGCTCTCATATCTTAGAAGTCAACCGGAACGTCGACACCTTGAATAGCATAAAATAAAGTAATTTTCAGCAATATTACGTTCTGAATAAGAATTTTGTTTAATATTCATGGAGAAAACAAAAATGTTTTGTTCGTGTCGTCTTAAAACCAACTGTATATCTAAACAAATTTAAAAATTTTGGAATAAAGTTTAATTAAAAAAAAAACATTACAACCTTAAAAATATAGGAAGATGGTGATGAAAATAAAGATGTTTTCAAAGACTTATAAAAGCAGAATTCTTTGGATAATATGCCTATTAATACCAAGGTATTAAAGGAATGTAGCTTCTATTTCTTTGCCTTGAATGCCTGGATACATAAGTACATTCGAGTACATCAAATAATTCGATGTTAATGTTGTATCATTTATATGAACTTCAATACAAACATTTCAACATATACAAAGATACAATAATTGGACAAGTAAAGTTGTCTTTTATAATAGTCTCCAAAGTAACTTATGTCAGCATAAATAAAAGTATTCTAGTTCTAAATAAAAATTAATACTTCTCTTTTTCTTCAAATAATGTTGTATTTAATTTACATTCAAAATAAGCCGGAATGTGGGATAATGATTACCTACAATAAATAAATTGTTGACATTTCCTTGCAGGATCTCCAAAAGCAAACAAAGTGACAATTAAAATCATTTTGGTGATTATACATATGTTCGTATAATTATAGAAAATTTTCATAGCTCAAATAATTTAATGTTTCGATGGTAATTTTACGTTACACATTCAAGTCATTAATATTATTTATCGATTGTGCAGCGTCCCACCTAGTGACCTACTTCTGCGACTGGGCGAACACGACCTATCTACAGAATCGGAGCCCTACTTGCACCAGGAACGGCGCGTGCAGATTGTTGCATCGCATCCCCAGTTCGACCCCAGGACCTTCGAATATGACCTAGCCCTGCTGCGGTTCTACGAGCCTGTCACATTCCAGCCGAATATCTTGCCAGTCTGTGTTCCTCAATCAGACGAGAACTTTGTAGGAAGGACAGCCTACGTCACAGGATGGGGGCGTTTATACGAGGGTAAAAAATAACACAAACACCTTTTACACAATTATCTACCGAAACCTCCATTACTGTCGCAGTATTTTACAAGCTTTAATAAAAAGGTTACGATAGAAAGTAAAAACATCCCAGATCACGGCAAATTACTCACCGGGGGTAGTAATTTCGGAAATTTAGAGCGATTTTACGCCAGTCTAGACTGAAAAAGTTTTAGCCAAATGAGCAAAAAACGGCCGACGATTTGGTTTGTAATTTAAAAACAAAAAAAATAACGCTCTTATTTCAGAGATTTCTGTTTAAAGCTTTGTAAACCCTGTAAACACATTATTTATTTCAAATTTAATAATAATAATTTTGTTCTATATGACAAAAATATAATAACAATAACACAAAATACAAACAGATTAAATTTCAAAAAAAGATTTAATTAAAACAATTAAAACAGATGATCAAAATAATTCGTTTAATTTATTACAGACATAAGAGAAAGTTGGATAAAAAGACAAAGTGCGGTAAAACGGTTTAGATAATGAAGGTGACGCAAAATATATTGTTTAAGATAACTAAATGTGGCAATACATAGAAATTAGAAATTACTTCTACCAGTGGAAAAATTACATAAAAATCCAATTTAAAAACTATTTTAAAAATTAATATAGAATCCAAGTCACAATAAAGATCTAAACGACGTCAATTTTCTCTACACAATGTAATGAGGGAGGTCAAAGCTTGTCAAATTACAATTCAAGGAAGTTTGTCACAGCAAAGTAAACATTTTTTAAATAAATTATTTCGTACAAAATAACAATACTATTCTAAAAAAATTAAATAACACTAAAACTAACTGTTACCTACAGTATATCTCCAGATTGAGTTTACAAGACGAAATTTTCTTTTATCTTTGATTTTACGTCAAAACTGCAAAGGAAAAACATTTTTGCTTCACCTGAAACGAGCATATCTGTACTTAAAACTTCATTATTCTGATTCAGTGAAAAAAAAAAGTTAATTTTTATCTTAATTTTCAACAATAATTTAATAATAATTTCTCTGCTTTTTAAGTCCTATCACATTGGCGGTTTTATTTATTTGACAACTATATGTCACTTTGACAATTAATTTATTTTGGTTTTTATCTTAAAGCTGTTTCTTTGAGTTGCTATTTATTAAAATTATGTTTTTCACAAGCATTTTTGTTATTTAACATGCGTAAACTTATTTATTTGTCAATGTGACGTCATTCTCAAAATAATAAAACCGCCAATGTAATATGACTTAAAACACAGAAAAGTTCAAAACCAAAAGAAAAATAAACTTTTCTATTTTTTTTTTCTTTTGTAAACTCAATCCGGGCACTACTGTGGAATGTTTGGAATAGTAATTTTTTTCCAAGCACATAAAATAATTTTTGTATGAAACGGGACGAATATAAAGATGTTATATTTCAGATGGTCCCTTGCCGAGCGTTCTCCAAGAAGTGTCCGTCCCTGTAATCAACAATTCAGTATGTGAATCAATGTACCGCTCCGCCGGCTACATCGAGCACATCCCCCACATTTTTATTTGCGCGGGATGGCGAAGGGGAGGTTTCGATTCGTGTGAGGGCGACTCGGGAGGACCCATGGTGATTCAGCGCGAGGACAAGAGATTTCTTCTTGCAGGAGTAATCTCCTGGGGAATCGGATGTGCCGAACCGAACCAGCCCGGAGTCTACACCAGAATCAGCGAATTCAGAGACTGGATTAACCAAATTTTACAGTTTTAATGTGATCTGATCGTAGCTCAACCGAAGTCAACGGAAGTGGAGAAGAAAGTGCGATTTTCAATCCTTTCATGCAAATTGGTTGATATTGATTTTCTTGCACTGCTTGCTATAAATAAATTCTGCATGCAACAGTTTACAGCGTAGAAAATTTCAGAATTTTATGCACTTACTAATGCAATATTTTGTGATGTGGAGACTTTTGCAAAACAGATGTTTAAAAAAAAGTTAAAAGGATGGATAGTTTTAAGAAAAAGCGATTGTAAAAAATAAAAAATATTCAGTAATATAGTTATTATGAAGGAACTTATTTAAAAATTGATAAAAAGAGTTAAAAATTTGTGAAAATACAGTTTAACTTTTTTGGTCGATGAAATTTGTAATTATAGAAAGTACGAACGATATTGTTATTTTTATATTAATGTAAATAGAGGTGCGTGAATCTAATTTTTGTACTGTAAATGAATAAAATATTTATTTATTTACTTTTTATTTAAAATGCTTCACTGAAATTCGCAAATTTGGATAAAATGGATTACAAAGCAACCAAATAATTGCTAGAGGCTGTGTATATACATATATGCAAACGTTGAATCAGTAAAAGCTTTGAAACAAAGTAAATGCGGTAATCCTTTCTGCCACAAAACTGTTATACTTAGTTTAGCATATCTTAAATATTTTTTTTTCTTTGTCAACTTCCATACTTTAGATTATAGCTTAAATAAATATGCCAAAAATTACAAATAACAAGCAGTTTAGGTTGTGATAATTCTTCTTATTGTAAGTGGAAGGTAAAATTACATAGTCAAACTTTTTTTAAAATATACCTTCCATTTACAATAAAAAGCAATTTTATTTCCGGAATTATAAAACAATGTTTCCTATTAAATTCATTTAAATATAATTGTATTTAGTCACATTTTGAGCAAGAATGCAACTATTTCATAAAATTGAATCATGGAAAAAGCTTTTATTTACATCTTTTAAAGAACAACACAAATTTGAAAGGCAATTTCAATTGTTGAAAATTTATATTTTTTGCCTTCCAGATAAACCAAGGAATAAATTTGCATTTTATTCGTTCCGGAAAAGTAACAAAAACACAAATATTGCGTATGTTCTGAAAGAATACGAGGGAAGAAAAAATATCTTTGACTGTAGAAACCTACATTTGAAGCTTGTTTAGTTTCCGAAATAGTTCCCAATTATTTTTGCAAGTAGTATTAAAAAAATGTGAGAAATAAAAAATAAGCAATAAGTTTTAACTACCTTCAAATTGTCATAAATTTATTAATTTTATTTAATTTAACATAATTTCTCCCAGAAATTAAATTAAACATCGCTAGGCAACCAATAATAAAGTTACGCTCCATAATTTTGTTGCATAAATTGTTAGCTCGCGCTCAATAAATTACATTTTAGCGTCAAATCGCGGATGGCAGGATCTGATACGTGATAAAATCCTAAAACACAAATTTATGACGTTTGAGGTAATAGAATCCAAATTCCAGCAAAAATTTACTGATGCAACTTGGTTGCTGCAGTTTTACAGTCCTAAAACCAAATTTTTCAGCGATAAAAAAAGTCGTCGAAACTATGGTCTAATGCGAAGTAATTTTCTTATCTGAACTTTTATCCCCTCGTTGATACAGCAAAGCGTTAGCATGATTTATGTTTTCTTAAGTACGCTAAATCAGGGTCAATGTCAGTGCATAGACTGTTATTATCCTTATTTACCACGAACAAGCCGTATTACATGAAGAAAATGCATAAAATATTACTGCCTCACCCGTAACTAGTAAAGTGAATTATCTTTATCACAAACAATTGACGAAATAAATCTTATATTTAATAATTTTCAATAAAATCAAGGCTCATGCAGCAGAAGGAGACAAAATAATCCATTTTGTTTCTACCTTGCAGGAACTGGGTGAAACACAATTTGTCTTAATTAAGTTTGTTATTATACGCACACCCACAGCAGGGGTAGAAAGGTCCACAAATATATTACATTTAAGTAAAGTTAAAACAATGTCAAGCCTTGATCTAAATCCCGAACAGTAGAACCCACTTCCCATATCTCATTTTCAATAATTGTATTAAAAAATTATGGAAATGATAATGTGCTGGTTTATATTGTGAGAAATAATTTCACTGCAATTTGCTCGTTAACATTCTTCGAGTTGTGACCCACGGTGCTTTAGTCAGCTTACCTATCTTCTATTAATTTTTTTATAGTCACATGAAAAGTGTCACAAAGACAATATACCGTATGATCAGGAAAATTTAACAACTTGCACGATTTATTCATGTCGTGTGCACGTTACAATTAACAATCTCAACATTCTCTTTTATGTCTAATAAAAGTATGGCGTATTATAAACAAATCGTGCCAAATTTTGCGACTCAGCACCATTAATCACTGAACTGAAAACCGTGTTGTAAATTAGCACCCATTATTTTTTTTCTCCTTGGGGGCAACCAAAGGCCCAACCCTAATGACGATGCTGGTGTTCGCTTTAATTTTCTTTTAACTGAAAAACGAAACGCGTAGGTTGATGGAAAGCTTGATATTTGTCTCTATACTGTTTATGCGACGTTTCTTCATTGCATCGATTTATACCAACGTGTTGGGAATTTTTACTGCCTCCTCTAATAAGAAATCTGGAACTGAATTGAAAAGCAAACCATTTTAGATACAAAAGCTTGTAATAAATTAAAGTTGTAGTTTTCTGAAAATATTACTTAAATATTATTATATTTCTATAAAAAATACAAAATTAAAATAATTTGTCCGAGCAGAAGGAATAAGTAGAATTCTAGGTCTGACATATTTTTAGAGCACTTTCGTAACTAATGACTTTTACTTAAAATCGTTAAAATTATTGAAATTTTAAATTATAATCACTAATCAAAGCAAATTAATAATGTAATTAGGCACTCTGGTAATGATACACACCTAAATACTACTGCTAATAATGTACATTAAGGTGGATCGAAAAACAGTGAAATTACATAATTTTTTATTTGCTAACGTCGGCAAAAGTTGCTGATTCCAATATTAGGTATTTAATAGATTTTTTTTTTGTCTTTTAGTTGTCCCACCCACTGAAAAAGAGTTTATTTTAAACAAATTTTTTTTTGTCCTATTTGGAAATAGTAAAGTTTTCTCAAAATTTTATCGAAACTGATAAATTATTCTAAGCACTTCTTTGTAAAAAATCGAAAGCCTAAATACAAATATATAAGTAAAAATTAAAAAACAAAAATTTCGGCTAATAAGGCGGACTCTGAAAAGGTGCCCCAAATGCTAGCAGCATTTCCACGTTGAATTGCAAGGGAAATCTTCTCAAACAGGTATTGTTTAGCTTTTTTTTCGCCAGAAACAGATATCAGCTTTTTACCAATTATATTGAGGAACTCAAAAGCTTCCTTAGACCAAGGGCCTAAAGTTTCAAAAGCTAAACCTTTAAAAATATAATTCGAAGAAATGATTGACTTATATT